GCAAACGCCTTCCTCAGAGGCTTGTCGCCCTTCTTCGGAACCGGCGCCCCCTTGTGCTCCGAGCCTTACCCCCAAAACAATCGGCCGCAACTTTTTAGCATCAATCCTGCGAATGCCTGCGACCAAGTGGCGAAGCCAGTGAAGGCTGTCTCGGACGTGACTCTGCACCAGAGAGGGGTAGTAGCCCTGCCACGGCATCGGAGTTCCTTCTGCCACCCGCTTGAGGAAGGTCCTCAAGGCCAGGAGCCCGATCTCGGTCGCCAACGATTTTGCAGCAGGGTGCGGGTGCAACATGACGGCGAGCGTGCCCTCGGCAATTGGCAAGCTCTACGGTCGCTTGACTCTCGAACTCGACAAATCACTCAATCGACTGAACGCAGAGCAGTCACGATCCACGCGAAGATGTCCACCTGGAGGTGCCACAGAACCCACGCGACGTCATAGGACTCGTTGTAGAGCCTCGTCACCACGGCCTTGTTCCGCGCGGACGCCGCAATTCTGAATGTAATGGGCGACTCGGGCATTCCTTAGTTCTTTGTCGTGCAATTTCAATCGCAGTGAAGTCCCCAAACCCCTCAGCTCATCAGTTCAAGATTCCGTTTTGCGGCATGAGAGTTGGCCTTTGACGAAGACTGACTCGGACGAAGGCCCATGGAACAAAGGTGAAATCGAGGTCGTCAAAGACCGTGGCACGGGCCATGGCTCCGGAGCCTCGGGCCTTTCTCAGAAAGCCGAGGAAAAGTTCGCAAGAGTCGGGCCGGGTGTTTCGGGCCGTAAGTAGATTCTAAGTAGATGTGTTCTCGGGCGTCAATTCAGTGATCTGTCGTGTAATGTCGTATGCTGCTCCTAGACTGGAATGCGGAATGGCATGCCACTGACCTGCGCACACGCACGTCTGAGCCGGACTGCGATAGACTCTCATGCCAGCGCTGCTCATCCAATCAAGCTCCAACAACCAACGTGCAGCTTCAGTGCACTACCGACTGCCGAGCCTTCCAAGTTTTCTCGGGCATCAGTAGGATTCCCTCGCTCGGACCTCGGGCAGCGGCTGTCTAAGCTGTTGTAATAAGTTAAGATAAGCAGCAGAATCACTTGGCTCAATTGAGAATCTGAGGCCGGAGCTGCAGCAGATGAGAGGCACACGGGCACCTGGATGAGCAGCTTAATTCAACATGCTCTGCAAGATGCAAAGACAAACTCATCACTTCAACTTCCAGGTCCAGCAATCGGACCAACCTTTTTACACCAGCTCGGGCCGACCTGCTGTCCACCTCGGGCCGAACTACCTGCGAAGCCCACTGCCACTCGAGATAGCCCCGGACTTCTCGGTCGTGGCATCCTTGTCCTTTCCTGAATGACACGACCAAGTCAAGCATTTGAAAATCAAGACCGCTTGTTCAAATTCATTTATTAAATATATGATGACCTGTGCCAGGACTCGCTCGGGCGGCTGAACCACTTTGAAAGGGCAGCCCGGCACGACATCGTCCCACCACATCAAAATCCGATGGCCATCAGCAACAACCGAAGCCATCTCCTCCAGGGTCAAATCGGACATGAACCCTCACTCCAAGCACGGAATGCCTACGCCAAAGCCAGGGTCACTGCCGAGCCTGGACGGAAGCCATTACGGTCTTCATATCGGCCGAGCCCGAAGGGTATCTGACTTCCTTGGAGACCTCGGGCATGGTGCTGTACTTTTTCGGTGGAATCAAGATCTCCTTCGCGCTCCACCGCTTGGCACTCCTTTGGTACCAGTTCCATGCGACGTGGTAGTCGTCGAACAATTTGTTCAGCTCCTAGGACGCTACAGCGAATGCGCATCCGGCGGATTGCGGATTTCACGCTCAATGCTGACAAGTCGCGGCCAAGTCCAGGATGAGCCTCCTGTGGAGCTCGGTCAAAACTGGCTTCTTCTCGGACGGCTTCACTCGGGCCGACTGCAAGGTGTCCATCGCCTCAGCCAGCTGTTGTGTGGCATGCTGCTTCAGAAACCAGAACGCAGTGCACAAATACACTACAAGGCCTAGCCACTGCAGCAGCAAGCTTCTGGCGCTTGGCGTGATCCCTTTGGTTCTTCCCTGGGTTCTTCTTCTTCTTCTTCGGGATCTCGGCCGCCTCCTGCTGCTCCTTCTCGGGCCCCTCGACCAGGAAACGGACAACGACAATTGCAAGCGATCCCTTTAACTTAGTTAAAACAGTCAGTCTC